CATCATGGGGAATACGAACAGGAATACTCTCACCGATGGTGTCACTGATGCTGGCAATAACAGAGACGACATCGTCCTTCTCTGCCAAAGTCGGTGCAGTCAAGGGTTGGACCTTGCCGTCGATGATACACACCGACTGGAGGGAAAACGACTGGTTGAGCCGCGCCGCATCCAGGCTCTGACCGCTGAATCCCATGGGATCAAACAGGTCCTGGAGCTTGGTGGTAACAAACTGGCGGGTAGCTTCATCAGTCAACTCTAAGATAGCCTTGGAGACGGACTTGATCTCGTGGGCCTTGCCACGAACTAGAAGGTCAGCAGACATGGCTGGGGATGGGGCTGGAAGAAGTGTTGAAGTGTCGTCGGTGGGACAATTCAATGACTCAATGAACTGTCGGTAACAATGCTTTGGGGAGCGGCAACAACTGTCAGGAACTGGATAAAGGGAGGACCAACAGCAAAAGGACCAGGCAAACAGAACTGGGGCTGGGGCTGGACAAAGCAAAGACTCACAGCAACAGGAAAGCAACTGGAAGGGAGGCAACAACTGGGAGGCAGGCAACTGGAAGGCAACAAGAGGCAGGATGCAGTGGTCCAAATCAGGGAAGGCTTGTGTGGAAGCTTTCAGGATTGGGATTATGACCTCATAGTGCTGTACTGCATAGCCTGGAATGGGAGGAACCAGGGCCACCACCACAGTAGCTCAGGCTTGTACTGTTGCTGTAGGATTGCACAGGGCTTGAACCCAATCCAAGAATACAAAAGGCTACCAGCCAGGTAGCTTTTGAACTGGGGATCCATTGCAATGAGTCAACCTCAATCTCTGACACAGGTGCCTGGTCAGGTATCATGCTGTCAGGATATCAATGCAATGTGAGGTGTGTGTGTGGTGTGGAACAGTGTTACTGATCACAAGCCACCACCTGTCTCGTCGCGCAACAAGTCATCGGTGGAAGGGAGACTTAGGGGGCGGGACAAAGACTTAGAGGGCAAAGTCAAAGACTTAGGGGCCCTCAACTCCTTTTCATGCATCGACTTCGCGAGTGGACTTTTCATGCATCGACTTAAAATATTTCGAAAGCACGGATGAAAACACGTCACGTCGATGACGTCATCGGACACTGACGTCAGTCGGATCTTGGATTTTTAAAGCGGGGGTGAAATCCAATCCGGTCAGGAGTCCAAGAGATAGGAGCCGCGAATCTTGCCAGGAGCAAAAGACTTAGGGGCCAATCCGTCGAAGATTTAGGGTCTGTGGTTGTTGTTGTTGTTGAAAATCGCGAAATCGCGAAATCACGAAGATCGACCATGGCCCTGGAGTCGGGACGCACGGCAACAACAGCGGCACTCCAAGGCCAGTTGGCCGAGGAGGAGGAGACGAAGCACCAGAAGGTGTCGCTCAAGAGGGGAGCGAAGCACCAGAAGGTGTCGCTCAAGAGGGGAGCGAAGCACCAGGTGGTGTCGCTCAAGAGGGGAGTGAAGCACCAGTTGGTGTCGCTCAAGAAGAAAGGAGACGAAGCACCAGTTGGTGTCGCTCAAGATGCCAGTTGGCAGAGCTAGAGAAGCACCAGTCGGTGACAACTCATCATAGCAGGTGTGGCTAGCGAAACACCAGGCGGTGAACGCATCATGGCCGGAGATCGATCGATCAGTCATCGGGCGTAAAGCACAACGACAAAAGAACCGATCGAATAACAAGGCTCCAGAGACCGGAACAGCATGGCTGTGACCGGCTGATAGTAGCCGTAGTAGCCATAGCAATGGCAGAACGTAGCTAGTAGCCGTAGCCGTTCGAAAGAAAGAAAAGAAAAGAAAAGGACGCCATTGTCCTCTTCGATCGATTGGTGGCTGCTAGCAATGTGGCTTGGATTGGCTCCTACCGACTGATCAGTTCCCTTGAAACCCTAACTCTATCTACGGTGACGTACCAGTCCAGGCAGGAGCAAGTGTGCTTCCACATTGCTCTGCTTAGAGTCATGGCGATAGTCCGAATCGCGGCTTTGCTAATGAAGAGAGTTTTTGCTGCGCGTGAATGGATGGGGGTTTGTGTGTCATGCTTTAGAATTTCTTTACGGAATTGATGAGGTGCGGGCACCGAAAAGATGGACCATGGCAACAGGCTGGCTGGCAACAGACCAGCGGAAGCGTCGCAGCAAGTCGATCCATTCGTCCCTCAGATAGATTTGATTTAGCGACGATCCGGTAGAGTAGACTATGCAATACTGGTAGCTTTTGTAACGAGGAGAAGGAGAGACAACGACCTGTCTTTTAGACTGTCTCAGTACAGTAGCTCTGCAGCGTTGTCTTGCTTCTCGCAGCTTGCAGTTGCAAAGGGCTGTGGCACGACAGGAGGTGAATGCTTGAAGCTTCAAGATTCGTGACGCACTGTGGAACCAACAAACGGACGTATCAATGCGAAGGATCGCATTGGATATTGACTCTGTAGACAGCCGAATAATGAGGACCAATTCGTGTAAGAATTGGAGAATCCTTCATACAAAGCGGAGAGCAGACAGACTCCCAAGCGATTCTTTCAGGCTTCGTCAATGACACCAAGTTGCCAGACAACCGCAAAAATTCAATGGCGACCATGATGCTAATGCGAACATTGGATCCTAGAGATAGAATAAATAGATAGATAGATAGCAAGCAACAGCAATCCACAACAAGATCGACCTGCATCTATCATACTCTCGCTGTCCCTCACATCACACGTGCTATCTGCTTTAGAAGGACCTCCAAGCGGGACATTATTGATCCTTTCAGCCTCTTGCTTTTCCTGTGTGATTTTTGTTCACAATTTTTTCATTCGTTCATTCCAGCCATCAGCATCGCTGTCAATCGTCCCATCCTTACCACCCTTACTATACTATACTACAATCAAGATGAAGAGCTCCCTGTTCCTACTGCTTCCCGTGGCAACAACGATTGTCAATCTCATGTTTGTCGTGGCGATTGTCACGTACTTCCCACATGCGACGGCTGCATTGGCGTCTCCACAAGACCTGTCGGCACTCGAACCGTACGACGGCTAAGCCAATCGAATCGAGCACCACCTGGCAAAAGATGATGCTGTCCTCCATGCACCCAGACTTACTTTGAAAGTGTCCGGGTGGGAGGAATCAGTCAGCCTTCCTTGGTGGATGATTGTCTCATCCGACAAAAGGACGACGAGGCCATCCACGAGAGAGTTGCCAGAACGAAGGATTCCCAAGAACCAGCTGGGAAACCGCTACATATTATGATTGAAGCAATTCAATCAATCTACTACATGCAACCTGCGTTTCAACTAACTGTACAATAATACTCTAGTCCATACTTGTTCTTTCATACATGTATGTACTCTCGTGCTAAACTAACTGCATGGCTGCTGTGCCCAGTTGTGTTTGCAGCCACCGTATTGGAATCTTCAAATGAATGAATCGAATCGAATCTGTCCATCCGCCCCAGGCACCAATGCTCCGCGACGAATCCTTGTCTAGCTAGCTAGCGAGAGTGCGCTGCGATTGGTTTCTGCAGTGGTTCGGAGGTGCTGGGATTATCGAGTCAATGGCTGGGGGCGGAAAGCAAGGGACGCAGTCCTCGATGATGTATGCAAGTCTCTCTCCGTTGCTTCCTTCCTTACTTCCTTACTTACCATGATGGTGAGCGACGAAAGGAAAGAAGATTCAAATACGCGTCGGTACCCGTACATGCAGTCGACTGCTGGGAGAGTCAGACCCAGCAGAGCTCCCGGCAGCTCGATTGCTTGCACGTCGCTCTTCTACGGTACGTACCAAAAGGGTCAACTTTTAAGAAGATGCCAGGAACGAGGAGAGGCAGCTAATTCAACGGATTAAAAGTCAAGGGATCGGGACTTCTGCTGGCCGGCTGGCCTAGTGGTAGTAGCTGGCTAGTAGAGAGAAGTGGCTTGATTCATTTTGTGAGAGCAGACCATCAGTGCATGGCTGGTTGGTTATCAGCAGCCAGTTTTCAACGCAAGTAATCATAGTATCAAGTGGTGGCTGGTAGCTAATGAGCACTTTCATCATCCGCCAGCCATGATGGCCCAGTGCGGATACTGTATTGAAGAGGACAGCAACACCCAGCCGTGGAAACCGTCCAGGCCAACCTGCAGGAGCTTCCTTGAGGTCGCTCAGCACAACATGTACCTCTAGACAGCCAGCCAGCCACCCACCAAAGAAACAACTGTGGTGCAATGCATCATAGCACAGAAAATGCCAAGTTTGGCACGCAGCGCCAAGTTTTGCACAAGCTCCCAGGAGAGGAGGAGGGGGGAGAGCTACCACAGAACATCAGCCAAAGCAGGGTGTCAACCAGTAGAAGACAAGATCCGCCACTAGCGCCGTACACACAGAGGTCATGCAGGGATCATGCTAGCATTTGTAGTTTACTTTTAGTTGTTGCTAGTAGTTGTTACATAGTGTATTGCATAGTGTAATGCAAGCAGCATGGCCATGGCGGATTTGTTTTTTGCTTGTTGTAGCTCATGCTGGATCTGCCAAATGTGCAAAACTAAACCACCCAATTTTCAGTACTGTTCTACAGAGCAGTGCCGATTTTCTAGCCAGAATGGAAAATGCATGACATTAAATAATAGGTTTACCTTTTGCAGCCAGTGAACATATACCGATTCAGTTCACTGAACCCCATCCAAACTTTAACCCCAAAGAACGGATTTTGAATCCAATCCCTTTTACAGCATGACTCAACTCTTTGTGTTAGACTGCGGATCAGGTAATAAAATGCATCACCAACACACCACCACAACAGCCACAGCAACAATGGATGGGCAGCAAGCATCTTGGAGAAGGGGTGGAGCAATCCCTGATCGAGATAGTGTTCTCAAAGCTGCAATCAAGCTATGGGACAAATTCATGGAATTGAAATACGACAATATTGGTGCAGCTGACTTGGCAGGAGACAACTCGCTTGTTCTTCTAACTGAGTTATGTACCCAGTGGGGAGAGAATCCACCGATGAAGCCTAATGGTCAGCCTTACGCTCTTTCGGGTTTGACCAAGTATATACGAACCATTTTCCATGATCTCAAGAAGACTTTTGGCAATAACGATGCCATCAGAAATGGCCCAGAGCTGTTCACTACCGAGGAGGTCAATCAGCTAGTCAAAATGCTGGAAGGAAATCATGGTAGAACTCTGATGATTGGCAGCAGAGAATCGGACGTATTCAAAGAATCATTTCCTATTCCTAGGCAGCACAGTGCAAGAACCAGGACACTACCTTTCAATGATTTTCCGAACAACAATTTGAGAGATATGTCAAGATCTGTGGAGCTGTTCTCGATGGCTCAAAGGTTGTTTACCAGGGGAGAATTCACTAAGCTTTGTAAGCTTCTATTTACCTTCAACGGCATAGGCAGAGGAGGAGAAGTGAAATTCCTGTCATATGACAAGATGTTCATGTGTTTTCATTTCAACGTTCTATTTATGCAGTGGGGAGGAAGGAACTCAAAACCAATCCTTCTGGTTTTTGCATGGATTTCCAATACCCCGAGCTCTGTATTTTCTTCCAACTGGGTTGTTTTTGGTCAGTTGACAATGGCCTCTCGAGGAATCGAAATGATATGGTTGACCCTAACTCTCCTCGATACAGGACGGCAAAGTTTGTATTCCCCGATCTACATGAGATTGCTGATGACAGTGTCGCTAGGCAAATGACCACTCTGATTAGAACATTGGTGCCCGAGCAGCTGAAGAAATTTTATTCGGTGAAGTCACTGCGAACTGGTGCCATGTCTTTGCTTCAATGGAACAGCTCGGTACTCCTACAAGAAGGCATTGCTCTTGGTGGATGGAAAACTGGAGCCAACAGCGATTGGTATGTTTGGATTTACTTGGTTGCTATTGTCCCAGCTGTTTTGGCATTAGCTGGGTACCCACAGCCGAGAATCATTCCAACTCTACCAGATATTGAACTCTTATATCAAGATCCAGACCCTAACATGGTATTCAGTGCAGTGAAGCTTCCTGATTTTATCAACAGCTTATTTGTCATATCCCTCCCAGAGTTTCAAGGTCCCAATGGTCGATTACGGAACCTACTGTTGGTGGTCGTAGCAGTGATGATTAAGAACTTCCGACACTGCGAGAGGAAATATGGAAATGGGCATCCCTATGTTGTTAAAATGATTGGGGCTACTATCTCCTCTGGCTTGGCAGTTGGCAATGCCGATGCTAGTGTCAAGCTCAAACACTGGTCCCGCAAAATTACTATGGAACTCACGAGAGCTGTGCCTGTCATGCTCGATACCAATGACAATGGATTAGTTGCCAATGCCGATGGATCTGTGGTTGCTCCGGGTATTAAGCAAGAGCTTACCATGATAAATCACAATTTGGGAGAGCTGTTACGGGAAAGAAATGCCATGCAACAGCAGCTCGAAGCAAATAAGCAGGAGATCCAGTCACTCAAAGCAGATATGCAGAACGTCAAATCGGGCCAATACAGAACTGCAGGAAACCAGGAAGAAATGATAACGTCAGTGAGAGCAATTTCACAATCACTGGCCCAACTACTGTTACAACCGCAGAGACAACAGGCCAACCCACCTCCCAGGCAAGAGCCACCACAGGTACGACAGCCTGCACAAGTTGTGCCACCACGTGCGTTACCACCCCCACCAGTGGCCCCACCTCTTCCACCTCCAGTGGCGCTACTACAACCACCACCTCCTGCACCCCTAGTACACAACACTCTTTATTCCAGGCTCCAACGCACCAGAGCTACAGACCCAGGTTCAAATGGAAGAGGGAAAACCAAGACGAAGAGTACTGTCAAATTCGTGATGATAGATTTGTATGACTCGAACCATTTTAGAAGTCTTGGTCAAACCAATCCACACCTGGATTCCCTATGGTCGCATGTAAGAGAGGTATCTTGACAGCATAAATTTCTAGACCAAGAACAACAATGCTAGTAGATGTTTAGCTAGTCTCGCCACGTGAAGAATCTTGCTCTAGAAGCAGACACTTCTTCTCTGATGGGTCAGTAGAAAACATGAATTCGACGGCACTCAGAATCAGTCCCTGCCACCCATTTATGGCTGCACGTGCTTCCAACCATAGAAAATATACCATTTGTTGGTTCCATGCTTCAATTGAAACATGGGTCTGGGCTTCCTCAGAACCAGATGTTTTTTTGCATCTTCCAGGACATCGGCAAGGCTGACAATGTTCAATGTGGCTGTGGTATGGTGCACACTATAGTAGCGTGGGGCTGTTTGGATTTTCTTTTGTTTGATGCCCACGACAATGAAGCTGTGAAGGTCTCCTACAGGTTCCAACTTGTCAAATGTTGAGGGTGGGAACTCGAAATAGTGGGGATCACCTTTGTCATTTTTGCCTATCCTTGGACTGTACTGGTGGGGTATGTAGTAGTCTCCCTTGTACGAAACCACGGATGAATGAAACTTGGGGAAGAGTCGTATTCTCAAGTGGAACGTATTGCCAGGTTCTATAAAAATAAAGTTGGGAGTGGCTCCTCTGAAAGTATCGGCGTGCTCTCCTGTCTGGGCTCCCACCACAAGATTAACTCTCATATAATCCTGGGTAGCATTGCTGATTTGAGAGCTTGGATGTGACAGATAAATTGCTCGTTGAATATTCAACAAGAACTGAAGATGCTGCCTTGAAAATTGACACATCTTGTACCCATAGTAGACCTCAGAATGCTCATTCTCGTACCGAAGGCCAAGACTTTGTGTACCCAATTTCATACTACTGGCAGAATTTACTGGGAATTGGAGATTGTTTCTGTGGGCACCGTAATCAGCATTTGGATCCACATATCCTGCGCTGGGATCTAACATGCACAACAATTTTTCATGGTCCAGTCTATTGCGAGGATAATCCTGACAGATCAGTAGATTCAGCTTTTCAATTTCCAGTTTAATTTTAGCTCTTGACTGCTGCTTACGGGAGACAACGGTGAGAGTGCTAGCCATTCCTGCTGACAGAGTCAATGCTGATGCCAGTGCTTGGACACCTGCCGATGACGATGCTGCTGTTGGGATGAGAGATGAAGAAATGATGCTGTTGTTGCTGTTGTTGTTGCTGTTGTTGTTGCTGTTGTTGTTGTGATGCTGTCTTCTGTGGCCGTGCAGTTTTCACAGATCCGCAGTCCTGTTCTGCAAAACTCCATTGCTGAACACCCTGCATTCATAGGGTTAATCCATACTTCTGCAAAACTTGTACGTCCTGAGCCAGAAAAGCACAATGATGTTCCGGAACAGTTCCCGAGAATCGATTTCCATTTTGTCTCCATCCTGGAAAGTTGAAAAAAGACTCCCTAGGATTTCGAGACCCCGTGGCCAGGGGATCCCTAAGTAATTAATTTAGCCCTAAGTACCATAGTCATAGCAAGGCGAACCCTCCAGATTACCAACACGCTGAAATGAGGCGCCATCGAATACCAGATCTGGTATGGCCGGCTTGTCAGGTTGTCAGCGGCAAGCAGCGAACCAACCTCCCACCATTCCTGTAGCGTTCCTCAATCGTGTTAAATCCAAAACGCCCCTATTTTAGCGGCAGATTTAGGGGCAGATTACCTTAGGGGCGGGTTTGGAAAACGCCCCTATTTTTTAGGGGCAGTTTCTGGAATCTGCCCCTAGCGCAGATTTAGGGGCAGATTACCTTAGAGCCGGTTTGGAAACGCCCCTATTTTTTAGGGGCAGTTTCTGGAATCTGCCCCTAAAATAGGAGCGTTTTTGCCATTTAGGGGCGGGTTGGAATCTGCCCCTATTCGTTGTGAGATTTAGGGGCGGATTCCCGAAAACGCCCCTATTTTAGAGGCAGATTTAAGACACTTGCAGGACTGAGGAACGCTCCTGGAACTTCCCTCGCAAAAACGGTTTTGGTCAGTCTTGTCTAAAGTATTTAATGTCAGTCGTGTTTTGGTCATCGTGACACGTGGTGATGAAAATTGACACGTGGACCTGTCCCGGTTAGGTCTAATCACGGATTCATCACTTTCATCACGATTTCATCACGATTCATCACATCCATCAACCCTCAGCACGGATTCATCATTTTCATCACGACTCAAAATGGGACTGGCTCTGAGACTTCATCAAATCCATCACATTCAGCACTTCCAACACAAAGCCAGCTTGTACCGGCACAGCTACAAGCAAAGTGACAGAGACCAACAACAACAACAACAACAGGAGCACCATGTCCAGCACTGCCAAGAAAGAGAAATGGAGGAATGGCGAAGCAAAGCGGATCCTGAGAATGCATATTCTTGCCGGGTCGATCAATGAAGGGACTGATCTCGATGATCTGCATGGCCGGCACCCCGAATACTTGAAGTGGCCCATTGCTCAATTCAAACGCAATACAAAAGCATTGCTGAAGTCGTGCAAAGACAAACCTAACAAAGCGCTCGAGAAATGGGGCAAGAGTGAAGCAAAGGCGCTTCTGAAAAATGACATCCTCGATGGGACAGTGACCCAAGAAAGCGACGCACGAGAAGTGCACAATAGCCGGATTGAATATAAGCAATATCCTTTCGACAACTTCAAGACAAACATGGGCAATTTGATTGAGTTGGTCCATAAGGAGTATGATCGAATGCGTACAGATTGTGAAGCATATGGGCACGATATGGCCATCGTCGCAGACCTCCACAGCAACAACCCACCTATTCCAACTCCTTGGCACAAATCTGCGGCCAAGAAATTGCTAGAAAAAGATATTGAGGAGGACAAACACCTCTTGCCAAATGGAGACAAACTCATGCCGATTGTTTTATACAAATCGAGAGTCGAGTATAGGGAGTTCAAACTCAAGAAATTCCGCGGGCATTTGTATCAATATTTGGATAAGCGAGAAAAGGCAAAGAATGCCCACCGCTACAACAAGAAGAAAACAAGAGGAAAAGCCCCGGCTACTATTGTCCATAATGCTCCTACCCGGACCAACAATGAAAGCTAAATTGTTTAGTAAGCCGATTTCTATTATTTATTTTCCTTAGTAGTCGTCTGCTGTGAGGTTATCTCCTTCATCCAGAGCAGCCTGCATTTCGGATTCGATTCGTTCGAGGTCGTTAATGAAGTCATCAGTTTCTGTTTTTTCTTGCTGAAGGGCTTGCTGGCGAAGAGCTGCATCGTTTGCTTCGTTGTCGTCGCCATTCTGAGCGGCCATGGCAGCAAGTTGCGAGTCTTCATTGTGTTCGGACACCCGCTGCATCATTTGTCTCTTCGCAAGTCGCTTCCGCTGAAGCAGCAACTCTTTCTTCTTGTCGGAACGTTCAGACCGACCAGCAAAACGGCTCTGACGTCGTTCGGTTGTGTTTGTTGTTGCTTTGAATGCAGTTTTTCGGACTTCCTGCTGCTTACCCATGGCGACAGAAAATACGTTGAACTGAGCATCAGGTGGAAAGTCTGCCAGAAAATTGCCTGTAGGAGGACCATTCGGTTGAGAAACAGCCAAGTTGGCTGCAGGAGCGGCTGCAGGAGGACCATTCGGTTGAGAAACAACCAAGTTGGATGCAGGAGCAGCGGCAGGAGGACCATTTGGTTGAGAAACAACCAAGCCGGAGGAAGATAATACCGGGTTCGGAGACACCAGAACTAGAGCATTCTTGGACGGTTTTGGTTTCGTAGGAGCGATGATGAGTTTCCCTTGTGGCGCTGGAAGAGGAGCCTTGATTGGTGTCGGCATTGGAGATGGAAGCTGAGTAACCGGTTTGGGAATGGCCGGAGCTGGAGCTGGAGCACTAACAGAAAACAGAGCACGGGAGGCGCTAAAGGTTGCTTTTGCTCGTGTGGTTGATGCAATCATGCACGATCCTATCAAATCACACAGAAGAAAATTGATCATTAGAGGAGAGTACACAACTAGCCTACCTGAACATTGCTTGTACATGCCACCACTCAATCCTCCCCTTTGCCTTCTTCCATTTGCATTTCCGTTCCCGTTTCATTCAAACGCATACCTTGGAAAGCGGTCTCGATGCCATCATTGGCTTCATCATTGACTCTGAGATGCTGCGGAGCCGTAGCAGGAACGACCCGTACCTCCCACCACCCAGGATAAAACATTTGATTCATCTTGGCCTTAGCCAACCCGACCTCCGTCTCCAATGGATATTCGCGGAGGCGAAGCTTCGCCTTTTGATCATGTGTTGGGATAGGAGGAACAGCATTGACAAAATCAGTTGAAATGATCACTTCTTCTGGCATAAGAAACAAAACAGTTTGGACAAGCCGAGTTGGGTCCCCAAGCACAGCATTGGCGAAGGTAGCCAACTTGTTTTTGGTGCGTTCGCATGGAGTCTGCTCTAAGTCACTCAGTCCTTCATGATTGTGGAGCAAGAAATGCGGAACCTTTGGACCAGTAACAAGAAAACCTTTGCCATTCAAAACAATGTTGCCCGTGTAGTTGTCGTAGTCTCGGAGATCAACAAGGCACTTCAGAGTGATTCGAATTTTGTCAGCTACAACAGTGCCAGTTTGGTCGGTGATGGAAAGGCATTCATCAACCCGATGAACAAGAAACTCGCTCCCGTTTTCTTCCGGATAATGCAAATCGACATCAATGGTCTCGTCGACCGCATCCATTGCCTCAGATTTATTTTTGAAAATGTTTTCACGTTGGACAGCAGCAGCTTGTTTGAAGCCGCTGTGAGGGCTGTGAAACAGCTTCGAAGGTGTTCCTTTCTTGGGAGCCATTTTGTTTACAGTTTTCTTGCGTTTGATGGGAGTGGAAAAAGACCAAGACGACGACGGAACTTCTTCTGGCAGTGGTTGTGGCGCTGGTGACTGCGTTTCTTCCTCTTCAATGATGGGCTCTTGCTCTGGTGGTGGAGTCTTGGTTGTTGCTTTGTTCGAGGATGATGACCGAGTGTTTGGTTTGCTTCCCCAAGTCGCAACAAGCTTCGATGGGCTGTCGTCCTCGGGATCCAAATCCAATTCGTTCTTGCCGATCTCGTTGGCTTCACCAAACAGCTTCCAATACTTCTTTGGGTTCTCCTTCTTGAGGCGCTTTAGATAGTGGAAGCGGTTGCGAACCGCCTGCAACAAGTCTCCTTGATACTTTGTGTCAAGTTTTACTACTTCCTCGCAACTATACTCGGGGTGAGCTTCAATATCACGCAGAAGCTTCCGCTTTGTTTTCCCGTCCAGTTGTGTCATGGTCAGAGTTTTGCACTCCAATGGTTGTGGAGAGAGCAGAACGGTGCAAGCAGGTGCGCAAGCCAATGACGGAGTATAACATATATTAAGAGCATTTAAGCTAATTTATTCAAAAAGAGCCAGACGGGTGTGATGTCGGCTGGTGTCAAATTTCTTTGGAATGCTTCGTGCGATCCATGCATGGGAGGAAGAGGAAAAAGATCCGATCTTTCTCACAAATAATGCAAAAAAGTCGACCATGGCCGAGGATGCCAAAGAAGCCGAGACAGCCGAGGAGATTGCTGCTCTTACAGCAGACGATTTTTTTGCTTTGGCATTTCGAATTTTTGGCAACCAGAGATGGGAGAAGAGGAAGAGAGAAACCAACGAGAACGATTTCAAAGATGCTTTTGGTGTTATCCCCGAGACATGCGTCAAGATTTGGGAGGCGCTTCGTACGCACCAGAATCCAGCTTTTCGGCTTCAATCCAAGAGAAATGACAAACCTGTTGGGCTGCTGTTTATCCTCCGGTTTCTTTGGAGGTATCCCACTGCCCTCGACCTTGGCAGATTTTTCAAAGTCAAGAGCGAAAATACGGTCAAAAAGTACATCGATATTTGGCTGCCGAGGATCCATTCATTGCTGAAACCAAAGCTTGGAAGCTTTGCTGATCATCAAGATGGATTGATTTTTGTCTTCACCGTTGATGGAACCCACTGCCGAATTGAAGAGCCTCGCCCATTTTCCACAGATTGGTCAAGTCACAAATTCGGAGGCAAAGCAGCCGTCAACTATGAGCTAGCAATCTGCATTCACAAACCACAATTAGCTTGGGTTTATGGCCCTACGAAACCAGGAAAGTACAACGATGTTTCGGTCTTTCGATTGAAGCTCAAGGAGAAAATGGAAGCTGAATTGCCAGGTTGCCGAATCATTGGAGACAAGGGATACAAGGGCGAGCCAGATTTGATCAGCTTGCGCAACGAATTCGATCCCGAAGAAATTGCCGAGTTCAAGGATAGAGCTTCGGCTCGGCACGAGAGCTTTAACCAAAAGCTCAAGTGCTTCAAGATTCTATCCGTGCCTTTCCGGCATGGTGTCGCCAATCACAAGATGGCTTTTGAAGCCGTTTGTGTGGTGGTGATGTTTCAGATAGAGTGCGGTGGTGCATCTCTATTTGATGCATACCTCTAACTAGCTAGTTCTTGTTGTCATTGCCTCTTGTTGTGGCTGATGTAGTCGTAGCGTCGAGTTGGTTCGTAGTGGTTTGTAGTTCGAAGTGCCGAACGCTGCAGACAGCTCTGCTGGTTGCATCCGGGTGTCAGTGATGTGTCAAATGGTCAGAAACGTACTGAAATAGACTACAATATCATTACTTTCATCACATTCATCACATTCATCACTTTCATCACGATTTCATCACGATTCATCACATCCACCAACCCTCAGCACGCATTCATCACGGTTTCATCACTTTCATCACGACTCAAAACGGGACTGTTTCGAGTCGTGATGAATTCAGACCGGGGTCGTGACGTCACGACGCGATTCAACAGAATAAGCATGACTGACCCAAAATCGTTTTTGAGGGAAGTTCCTGTATCGTTTCCTTGCGAAGCAGTGCATGCATTCCAAAGCAATGCGACAAGCCCATTATTATAAGAAGCAAAATGTCAACATTTAATGAGACAAGCGCTGGTGCAGAAAGTGGGGGGCTCTTGGTGATGGAAGAGAGCCAGGTTTCGCAGGGAGACTTGGTATTACAAGACGCTGACTTTCCTGATGGCTACGTTCACATGGCTCACCCTGACGACTACAAGCCTATCGAGAGTCCGTTACCAAAAACGTGCCTGTTGCACCAGAAGATTGGGCACTGGCGACTCATCTTGCGCATTTCTTTCCTCTTGGCGAATGGGAAGTATCTTCCCATAAGCTTTATATGTGATACTGGTGTACCATACGATTTTTACTTTTCCGAACTTGCTGTTGAAAAGCTCACGGCTGGTGGGCGTGTGAAAGAAGATGACATTGGAAATGCCTATCTCGACAATATTGTTGGACGGAAGGCTGCTGTCCGTGAAACGCCTTACACCCACAAACCTGGAAACATACTGGGGCTAAGAATGATGCTGAAATTAGGATGCAAGTTGACCGAGAGCGGATTTGAATTCACTGAATCCTTTGAGTACTTTTAATAAAAATTCTGCTCTGGTCAGGAGTTTTCGCCATATAAATTGGAACATACATTTGAGTGGTTATTTATGAAGCAAGAAGCTGTACTGTTGATGTTGTTGCTTTGCAGCTTCAGTACAAGAATCGCCGGGAATTTGTTGCTGAAGCCAATGCCTTGCAAACAAGCGGAGCTGAAAGAGGTTCTTGCCATGCTACTGTTCAACGAGGGCTGTCCTGGGTACCGTAGCTAGACAAACTTCATACTAGAAGGGGAATATTTTGCTAGAGTCATAATAAGGAATGGTGGTATCCCATTACGTTTTGCTTAGTTAGAACAACTTGATCGACGAATCCGAAAAGGAACTGATACGACGGCACCGTACGCTCAATCATCAGTCTGCGAGCCGACGACGTTTCGGCAAAGACGATTTGCTCACGCTGCGATGACTATGGTTGCGAACAACTAACTAACTATTCGTAGATTGTGTTACAGTACAGAAACTGTTTTTCTGGGTTGGGCGGAGAACTCCAGTTCGCAGTGGTGGCCAGCTCGTTCGTTTGTTCGTTCGTTTGTTCGTTCGGGCTGCCCTTACAGGGAGGCAACACGGGAGCAAGCAGCAAGTTGAGGTTGCACAGTGTGTATGCCGTCGTTGTTTGATTTGGCGACATTGTGTCGACGGCCACCGGTATCAACATATACTTGCATCCAGTTTGGAGTCACTCATGCGTGGCAAGCATGGACTGTATCTGATGCTGCCTGCCTGATGCTCTGCCTCGGTGAGGGTATTTTTGTTGTTGTGCTGTACTAGCTACCGTATTGCTTCCTTCCTTCATTCCTCTGTTACGGTACCACCAGCGGTTGGACGAGATATTCCCGTGGCACCGATTGGCGGACGGCCATTCTCAAGACAAATCCGGGTCCACAATTGCGAATGGTAGCATCTTGAACAACAAGCACACTGGACGCCCTGCGAAATGCTTTGTGACAGGGCAATCCGGCAAAGAGACTTTGGACCGGTTTGAGGGCATTGCCAATGAGTCGGGACGATATCTTGTCCTTATTATTAGTGCCAGCAGCACGGTCATGATGAGATTGTTGTGTGGTAGTGGGTGCTGTATTCTCATCATCGTCATTGTCGTCTTGCATCAGGCTGGTGAGAATGGTGGTCCCATACAATACTTGACACACTGGACAAAACGGGGCAGTAAAGTGGATGACGGGGGCAGGATATCGTAGTGTCTTGCAACTGTTGTTATCACAACATCGTCGAGGATACGTTCGTTCCAGGTAGAGACAGTACTGTTCGAGCACATCCGCTCGATTGTGACACGGATTGGATGGGGCTCCATAAAAGTATCGATCGACATCTCCAAAAAGTGCCACATTGTCCAATGCCGCTCGTCCCATCATGACTCCTCGCAGATTGGGTGGTGCCACCGGGAGTGGTGCGGTCAAAGCGTCTTCCTGACATGTCGTGTCATGATGACTGCATGTGTTGGTGTATCCATACGCCAACTCCTTGGCTTGCTCTAGAGTGGCAATCCCTCCATTGAGCCAAAAGTGACAGTTGGGAAATTGATGACAGAGTCGAAAGACTCGTTGGTAATTGAGTGGTGGTTTGGTTCGATTCTGACGGGCATTCAAGCCTTGCAAGTAGACTTTGCGGGCATGAAGAATAAAGCGAGTACAACCACCCCGTTCCACCAACAGTCCAATCAAGTTGGCCACAAACTCCCAATCATCTTGGTCGTCCACTCCAATTCTCATCTTGATGGATACATCTATATCAAGATGATGAGCAAGAGCAGCAGATTGCATGGCCGCCACAATATCGGCCATTCGAGTCGGTGATTTCATCAAGGCGGCTCCAAATTGATTCTTTTCCGCAACCGTCGAAGAAGGACATTCGCAATTCAAATTGATTTCTTTAATATACAGATAGTAGTGCTCGTGTTGTAGTAATATGGCCACACATTGCGCCGCACGTTCTGGGGAATTGCTGCCAATTTGCACAATGACATTTCGATTACTGTTATTGTCGTCGTCTTGTAATAACAAGTCGTCTCGTTTGGCAGCACTGGTATGCAAGAGCGTATTGTCAGCCAACATTTCCGTCCACAGAACAAGACGCCGACTCAAAATCCGCAACAAGGCTCGAAACTCCCGGTTCGAGTAATTCACCATGGGAGCCACGTGGAGTTCTTTAGTAGAGTGGCATGATCTTGTACCGTCATCACTGGAGTGGTCAAATAGTATTGTCATTGTCTTCTTCTTCTTCTTCTTCTTGTGTCATGGCTGGTCTCTCCTCATGTTGTTGGCTCTTTCTTTCTTTGCGGGTGCTTGCTAGCTTGGCTGTCCGCCTTTCGGTGGAAAGTAGATAATAAGCCAGTGAAAGCTGCCAAAAACTCGTTCCGGTCTTTGTTTCTTTCCTTTGAAAGGACTGGAAATCAGGGTTCGCCAACCTGAAAATAGATTTGAGGAAAAGGTTACTAACCCAAATTCCTTCTGGCGTTTTATGCTCGGCCAAAGCAGCCTCCTTCGGACAAAAATATTCACGCAGCATGCCCAAGAAAGGCATTTGCTCCGTTATGCAATATATAGAACTACCCTACTGTAACCTAAACAGATCCATCTGCTCCAACCAAAACGTGAACGGTGATTTCAGAGAAGGCCTCCCCAGCTACCAAAGAATACAACACTGTTTGGTTGCTAGCTGTCAGAGAGGTCCATCCAGAGAACATACTGTTACCCCATCTGTCTAATACAATCAATCTGTAGCTATTATTGGGGCCAACTGAGAAGAGTGAGGAGTATAGATAATCCTCAATACCCAGTGGACCACCTGATTCCTGAGTGTCCCAAATATCAGTCGCATTGGTTTCCTGCTTCCAAACCCATGATATGTCCGCTGGCCAATTATCACTTTGGATATTGAGCATTGTGCATGCTTGGCAATCGGATGGCAACACGTCAACAGCTCTGGCTACTGGAATCAGCTAGATGCAGATTATGGATGAATGCAGCCAAAAGTACTGCAAATCTGTGCGTAACGCAACACCTTTTAAAAAAACAGTTAGATGCAGATTATAGATGAATGCAGTACTTTAGATGTAGATCATAGATGAATGCAGCAGAAAATACTGCAAACTTGTGTGCATAGAGAGTGCAACATGGAATCATGATGCCGTAGAACTGGTGATATCAAATGAACTGTCGGCTCTGACTGTGATGATGCCGATGGTGATTTCTCTGAAATCACTGTCACTGTCACTGGTTTAAAACAAAATCATCTGTGCTGACATAGGAGTACAATACCGTCTTGTTGTTTTCTGCTGTCCAAGGTATCCATCCACGGACATAGAAACCATCGCCATAAATATCAGATACAACCACTCTGTAGCTGTTGTTGGGGCTGACTGAGAAGATCGAGGAGTAAAGATGGAGATGAGATGCCAGTGGACCACCTGACTTTACAGTGTCCCAAACACCTGTCCCATTCGTTTCTTGCTGCCAAGTCCATGCTGTTTCTTGTGGTTCTTTATCGGTATAGATATTGAGCATGTCATCTGCACTTGTGGTGGGAAACCATCCAGGCCAATCTGGTGGAGCTTCTTTGAGGTCAGCACAGGTAGAAACGGGGGAGTTTCATTTTGGAAACAATCACACCATAAAAAAGAACATAGATGCTCTGGTACAGTTCCTGAGAACTGATTCCCATATACTCACAATGCCATAGATGCATCCAGCTGGCTGGGCAGTGTTCCTGTCAGGTGATTATTCTGAAGAGCCAGGGATGTCAGCCAATGATGTCATCATGCCAATTTCAGTTGGGATCTGGCCAGATAGCTGATTTTCTGACAGAGCCGAAGATGTCAAAGATGTCATCATGCCAATATCAGTTGGGATTCTGGCAGTGAACTGATTTTCTGATAGGTAGAGCTGTGTTTTAAAATGAAGTGAAGTCAGGAAGCTCAGAAGGCAGTGGACCGATCAACTCATTATTTTCAAGCCAAAGCCTCCGCAATGAGGTCAGGAGCCCAAGCTCCGAAGGAACTGGACCGGTCAACTGATTCTCAGAAAGCAAAAGCCAATCTAATGAGGTCAGGGTCCCAAGCTCAGAAGGAATTTGACCGGACAACTGATTCTCATTTATAAAAAGGTACACCAATGAGGTCAGAAGCCCAAGCTCGGAAGGAATTTGACCCGACAACTGATTCCCCGAAAGTACAGCAGCTTCCAATGAAGATAAGAGCCCAAGTTCGGAAGGAATTGGACTGGCTGGCGGTTAAATCAATGCCATTATTTCCTAACACAAAGTTGGACAGGGAAGTCATGAGGCCAATCTCGGGAGGAAGAACAATGTTGAGACCAGAAAGCTGGAGGGATTCAAGTTCAAGAAAGGTGTATTGCCCATGTTCATTGCATGGTGATCCGTCGTCCCTTTCGTCCCTTCCCCACTCAGAAAAATCTCCAGAGAAGGCGAAGTATCCAAATCGAGTGGAGAACCAGTCACACTCTTCGACAGTGTCATCGATCCATCCATGGCTCCTTATCAATGGGTTCCATCTATCTCCTTCGAAGGCATAGAAGAAGGTAGCAAGAGCAAACAATTGTGTCTTTCTCCATTCAGGCAAGTTTGTGATGTGCTGGTGATTGGCTCACCACTGCCATGCTTGCCCGGAGGGGTTGAACTGCCATTGTTGATGCTTCCCAAAGTCGTATCAGGAAGATTGTCCAACAGCACATCTAGAACTCAAGTTGGAGCAGAGGATGGTACTCCGGAAGGAGTCATGGATCCGTAAACTGTCGGAGCCTCAGTTGACTCAAGGATAACCACATCCAGATCCTTGTTCTTTTGGGTTCGCACCATTAATCCCACAACAATGGCAGTAACCAGCAACAAACAAAGAACTGCTGCAAGGAAATCCCCATCCAAAACAGCGTCAATACAACAATGATGTCAGATGGTTTTCAATGCAAGATCTATGTCATTGTTGTGGCGAATACAGTGGCAGTTTCCGTGTTCAAATACTTTGGTATCAATGGTTTCCGTTGCTACTTTGCAGCCAAGAGATTGGCCGCGGAGGAAGAAGATACGAAGTCCACGCAGCCAGTGGTGTTTCCTCTCGCTAACTGTCAGAATAGAACTTGGTGGTGGTGGTGGTGTGAAACGGCACAAGCTCTTGCTTCTCCTCCCTCTCGCAGCCAGCATCAGCAGCCCAAATCAAGCAAACGTTTGACTTCCCTTACACTTTGATACCTTTTAAAAGTTCATATTAGTTAATGCATGTATTAGTACGCAGGCCTTGTAATGTACTAGCCAATTGTGACGGTAGCTACGGTACAAGGGTCCAGGAGAAATTCAAATAGTCCAACAACCTGTCTGTGTCACCCCTGGCCCACTCCTGGACCAACGCCCAGACTTACTCGGAACGCGGCCCACTACCGGTGGTAGAGCTGGACCTAAGCTAGATCTACCGCAATCGAGGCCGACCACCAGGATTTGGCACCTTAAAAGAATTGTGTCCTCAAAGCACCCCTCCATAGTTAGATGTTGATGCTGTTTTCTGGCTGCTCAAGATGACTGCAGCATAATTTAAAAAATGCATCTAGCTAGTTGCTCAACTATAGAAAAATGTAACATATAGTCACTAAGTTGTAGAATTTGTGATATCAAAAGATCCATCTGCTCCAACCAAAACGCCAATGGTGATTTCAGAGAAGGCCTCCCTGCTACCAAAGAATACAACACTGTTCGGTTGGTGGCTGTCAGAGTAATCCATCCTGGATGCCAGAAGCCATCACCATAACTGTCAGACACGACCAGTCTGTAGGCTGTGTCGGTGTTCACTGGGAAGATATAATAGGAGTAAAGATATTCTTTGAAGTCCAGTGGACCACCTGATTCCAAACACCAGTAACATTGGTTTCCTTCTGTCAAACCCATGATGTTTCATCTGGAAGCCATCAGTTTGGATGTTGAGCAGGACATCAGCACCTTTGGTTGGAAACCGACCAGGCCAATCCGGTGTAGCTTCTTGGAGGTCAGCACAGGTGGAAACAGGGGGAGTTAAATTTAGGGAACAATCACACCATAAAAATGAACAAAGATGCCCTGGGACAGTTCCTGAGAAACGATTCCCATACAGCGTCAATCCCATAGATTCATTCAGTTGGCTGGGCAGTATTCCTGTCAGGTTATGGCTGTGAAGAGCCAGGGATGTCAGTGATGCCATCATGCCAATTTCAGTTGGGATTCTGCCCATGAACTGATTGTCATAGAGGTCAAGCTCTCTCAATGAGGTCAGGAGCCCTAGCTCAGAAGGCAGTGGGCCAGTCAACCAATTTTCGCTCAAATCCAGGCGTTTCAAAGCTGCCAAAAGGTAAAGCTCGGAAGAAATGGGACCAGACAACTGATTGTCACTAAGGTAGAGGCGCTCCAATGATGTCAGGAGCCCAATCTCTGAGGGAATTCTTGAACCGGATAACTGATTGTCATAAAGGTAGAGGCGATCCAATGAGGTCAGGAGCCCAAGCTCAGAAGAAATTGGACCAGACAGCTGGTTGTCATAAAGGTAGACCCGATAACTGATTGTCATAAAGGTAGAGGCGCTCCAATGAGGGTCAGGAACCCAAGCTCTGAAGGAACTGGACCGGACACCTGATTGTCATAAAGATAGAGGCGCTCCAATGAGGTCAGGAGCCCAATCTCTGAAGGAATTGGACCGGCCAATTGATTGCCTCCCAGGAAGGCCAGGAAGAGGTTATCCAATGAGGTCAGAGCCCAAGCTCTGAAGGAATGGACCGAAACTGATTGTTCTAAGGTAGAGGCGCTCCAATGAGGTCAGGAGCCCAATCTCTGAAGGAATTGTACCCATCAAGCGATTTTCGCTCAAATCCAGTTCGTGCAAAGCGGTCAAAAGGCCAAGCTCGGAAGGAAGTGGACCCGTAATCTGATTCTCCTGAAGGCCAAGCACTTCCAATAAGGTCAGGAGCCCAAGCTCTGAAGGAAATGGACCGGATAACTGATTGTCATAAAGATAAAGCTGATCTAATAAGGTCAGGAGCCCAAGCTTGGAAGGAATTGTACCCATCAAGTGATTTTTGTTGAACGCCAGCCAGGGCAAGGCCGTCAAAAGGCCAAGCTCAGAAGGAAGTGGACCTGTAAACTGATTCTCCCGAAGGCCAAGCTCTTCCAATAAGGTCAGGAGCTCAAGCTCTGAAGGAACTGGACCGGATAACTGATTGTCATAAAGATAGAGGTGCTCCAATGAGGTCAGGAGCCCAATCTCTGAAGGAATTGGACCGGCCAATTGATTGCCTCCCAGGAAGGCCAGGAAGAGGTTCTCCAATGAGTTCAA